GGCCTGATGTGGAAATGTCGCCACCAACTTTGGCCTGATGTGGACATGTCCCCATCTAATTTGGCCTGGTGTGGACATGTCGCCACCAACTTTGACCTGGTGTGGACATGTTCCCATCAATTTTTGCCTGGTGTGGACATGTCCCCATTAACTTTTGTCTGGTGTGGACATGTTCCCACCAACTTTGACCTGGTGTGGACATGTTCCCACCAACTTTGGCCTGGTGTGGACATGTCCCCATCAACTTTGGCCTGGTGTGGACATGTCCCCATCAACTTTGGCCTGGTGTGGACATGTTCCCACCATCTTTGGCCTGATGTGGACATGTTCCCACCAGCTTTGGCCTGGTGTTGACATGTCCCCATCAACTTTGGCCTGGTGTGGAAATGTCCCCACCAACTTTGACCTGGTGTGAACATGTCACCACCAGCTTTGGCCTGGTGTGGACATGTTCCCACCAACTTTGGCCTGGTGTGGACATGTCCCCATCAATTTTTGCCTGGTGTGGACATGTCCCCATCTAATTTGGCCTGATGTGGACATGTCCCCATCAATTTTTGCCTGATGTGGACATGTCGCCACCAACGTTGACCTGGTGTGGACATGTCACATTCAACTTTGGCCTGATGTGGACATGTTCCCATCAATTTTTACCTGGTGTGGACATGTCCCCATCTAATTTGGCCTGATGTGGACATGTCGCCACCAACTTTGACCTGGTGTGGACATGTCGCCACCAACTTTGACCTGATGTGGACATGTCCCCATCTAATTTGGCCTGGTGTGGACATGTCCCCATCTAATTTGACCTGGTGTGGACATGTCACCACCAACTTTGGCCTGATGTGGACATGTTCCCATCAATTTTTGCCTGGTGTGGACATGTCCCCATCTAATTTGGCCTGATGTGGACATGTCCCCATCAATTTTTGCCTGATGTGGACATGTCCCCATCTAATTTGGCCTGATGTGGACATGTCGCCACCAACGTTGACCTGGTGTGGACATGTCACATTCAACTTTGGCCTGATGTGGACATGTTCCCATCAATTTTTGCCTGGTGTGGACATGTCCCCATCTAATTTGGCCTGATGTGGACATGTCGCCACCAACTTTGACCTGGTGTGGAAGTGTCGCCACCAACTTTGACCTGATGTGGACATGTCCCCATCTAATTTGGCCTGGTGTGGACATGTCGCCACCAACTTTGACCTGGTGTGGACATGTCCCCACCAACTTTGACCTGATGTGGACATGTTCCCATCAATTTTTGCCTGGTGTGGACATGTCCCCATCTAATTTGGCCTGATGTGGACATGTCGCCACCAACTTTGACCTGGTGTGGACATGTCACCACCAACTTTGGCCTGATGTGGACATGTTCCCATCAATTTTTGCCTGGTGTGGACATGTCCCCATCTAATTTGGCCTGATGTGGACATGTCGCCACCAACTTTGATCTGGTGTGGACATGTCGCCACCAACTTTGGCCTGATGTGGACATGTCCCCATCTAATTTGGCCTGGTGTGGACATGTTGCCACCAATTTTGACCTGGTGTGGACATGTCGCCACCAACTTTGGCCTGATGTGGACATGTCCCCATCTAATTTGGCCTGGTGTGGACATGTCGCCACCAACTTTGACCTGGTGTGGACATGTCACCACCAACTTTGGCCTGATGTGGACATGTTCCCATCAATTTTTGCCTGGTGTGGACATGTCCCCATCTAATTTGGCCTGATGTGGACATGTCCCCATCAATTTTTGCCTGATGTGGACATGTCGCCACCAACTTTGACCTGGTGTGGACATGTCACATCCAACTTTGGCCTGATGTGGACATGTTCCCATAAATTTTTGCCTGATGTGGACATGTTCCCATCAATTTTTGCCTGGTGTGGACATGTCCCCATCTAATTTGGCCTGATGTGGACATGTCGCCACCAACTTTGGCCTGATGTGGACATGTCCCCATCTAATTTGGCCTGGTGTGGACATGTCGCCACCAACTTTGACCTGGTGTGGACATGTCCCCACCAACTTTGGCCTGATGTGGACATTTTCCCATCAATTTTTGCCTGGTGTGGACATGTCCCCATTAACTTTTGTCTGGTGTGGACATGTTCCCACCAACTTTGGCCTGGTGTGGACATGTTCCCACCAGCTTTGGCCTGGTGTGGACATGTCCCCATGAACTTTTGTCTGGTGTGGACATGTCCCCATGAACTTTTGTCTGGTGTGGACATGTCCCCATCAACTTTTGTCTGGTGTGGACATGTCCCCATCAACTTTGACCTGGTGTGGACATGTCGCCACCAACTTTGACCTGGTGTGGACATGTCCCCATCAACTTTGACCTGGTGTGGACATGTCCCCATCAACTTTGGCCTGGTGTGGACATGTCACCACCAACTTTGGCCTGATGTGGACATGTTCCCATCAATTTTTGCCTGGTGTTGACATGTCCCCATCTGATTTGGCCTGATGTGGACATGTCGCCACCAACTTTGGCCTGATGTGGACATGTCCCCATCTAATTTGGCCTGGTGTGGACATGTCGCCACCAACTTTGACCTGGTGTGGACATGTTCCCATCAATTTTTGCCTGGTGTGGACATGTCCCCATTAACTTTTGTCTGGTGTGGACATGTTCCCACCAACTTTGACCTGGTGTGGACATGTTCCCACCAACTTTGGCCTGGTGTGGACATGTCCCCATCAACTTTGGCCTGGTGTGGACATGTCCCCATCAACTTTGGCCTGGTGTGGACATGTTCCCACCATCTTTGGCCTGATGTGGACATGTTCCCACCAGCTTTGGCCTGGTGTTGACATGTCCCCATCAACTTTGGCCTGGTGTGGAAATGTCCCCACCAACTTTGACCTGGTGTGAACATGTCACCACCAGCTTTGGCCTGGTGTGGACATGTTCCCACCAACTTTGGCCTGGTGTGGACATGTCCCCATCAACTTTGGCCTGGTGTGGACATGTCCCCATCAACTTTGGCCTGGTGTGGACATGTTCCCACCAACTTTGGCCTGATGTGGACATGTTCCCACCAGCTTTGGCCTGGTGTTGACATGTCCCCATCAACTTTGGCCTGGTATGGACATGTCCCCACCAGCTTTGGCCTGGTGTGGACATGTTCCCACCAATAATTTCCGCTTTTTCCCTTTCCACTCATTGACTTTAGCCAACAGTAACAGAGTTGGGTGCAGCTATCTGTGTTCAGAGTGTTTTCAGTCTGTGTTTTTTTCCCACTGCTCCCGTGTCCCGCCTCTCGGTGTGACATAATTGGATCTGTCAATTTGAGACATCTGATTGGCTTACGTATTTCACTGCTTAGAGAGTAGCTAGGTGGTTGGAGGAGAGACACACAGCAGCACTCAGTGAATATTAACCAGCAGCTACCTCAATGTTTAAGTAAAAGTTAGGAGACTTTTACTTAATTAGGGATGCAAATGAAAAATCTGTTCGTTAGACATGCAGACATTTTTAAGCTAAAAATGGCAACAGATTGTAAGTTTGTAGTTTAAATGTTCTTCTTTACTATAAAAGCTTGGCTTCTCAGAGGACCATGACTGACAGTTACAGGTTAAAATTAACATGGTATCTAATTGAACAGACAGAATCAGACTGCAGAGCTTCTACATGTCTTTAAATGTTGTTCCTGGCATCATTATATTAGTAAAGAGGTTCATACATCTTTTTAAACAGAGCACAGAGAGAAGCAGGGAGAGCTGCAGGTTTAAGGTGGAACTGATTTACTGGGATATGCAACATGCTATGAAATGTATCTCCAAGTTTGCAAGAAAAAAATATGCTATGCTATATTTAAAATGCAGCATATCCATATTTTTCTGGATGGATGGAATTGAAATTGTATTTCTAGGGTTGCATGACGTATCAATTTTGGCATCAGAATCGGCTCTAATTATTTTTATACATTGATGTTTTTGGGCCCTATATATGTAATGCACTAAAAGGCATCTCTCTAACATCTATAGGTATTAATATTAGTCCATTATGGTTCTCTTGTGTCAACAATAGGAAAGCATGAAATGAATGAAAATATCTCATTTTTGGAAAATACAAAAACCTGAAAGCGTTCGGGTTGAGTAACTGTAGGTCCATCATTTTCACCCTTAGAGCGCCCCCACCAACTTTCATCACAAAATTACACCCTTGAACAGATGAGAGTAAAATCAACTGGACAATCTGTGGCGTCCATGGCGATAAAGTTAAACTATGTTGGGATCACAGGAGATGCTTTTATCATCGATCCTGCTCTCACAGGATGAGTTGGATTCAAAACACCAAAGAACCAACGGCTTGTTTTCTCTGTTGTATAGCTTTAATAAAGTGTCTGATGGCAATAAAGCTGAATCAAAGCATCTTTTATTTTTTATGATATATTTTATTTCATAAAACAACAAACCCTAGCTAGCTGCATAGATTAGTATAGTCGCAGCTGCAGACGGATTTCCATTTCATTATGGTCCGGCCTCCAGAGCAGCGAACAGTCAGTTAGTGCAGGCGGAGACCCACAGCTGGAACCCCCCCCCCCGGTGCTTGGACCGCTCTCTGCGATCGGATTACCGAGGGGCCGCCTTCCCCCTCCAGGCTCAGCAGCCTGCTACCCAGAACCGCTAGCACCGCACACAGGGCTGGGTTGTCTGCTATCTTACTGGTTTATTTTATGCTATACACAAAAAATGCTGGAATCTTTTTCACTTGTGATGAGATTACATTTGAACGTTCTATCAAATGAGAGAGTGTTTTCTATTTGACCTTTAAGATCAGATATCTAAACCACACTTTTTGCAGAGACATTCAAAGACTTTTCTGATTTTCCTTTCTGTTTATAGGAAGGTTTAGGAAAATAAATTTTCCAAACAGTTTTCTCTTCTTTTCATGATGAAAGCAGGAAACTGATGGATCATAATCGATCTAGCTGATCTTTTCCACAGTAATGATTCCTTACAGCAGAGACCTACCGAGAACAGCATGTTCTTCTTGTCCTGGTTGACAGCCCTGGGGTCCGGTACAGGATCTGTGTGTTTGAGGACAGACACGGACTCCCCCGTCAGAATGGACTGGTCCACCCTGAGTGTGGTGGAGCAGATGGAGGTCAGCCGGATGTCTGCTGGCACCTTATCGCCAACTGGGGGTTGGATGGGACAGAAAGTATAGCTTCGTGGTTAGCATGTTAGCGTTCCTCACACAAAGTGAACACAAGGTGAACAAGTCTGGATTTTTTGGGCAGGTTGCCACCCAAAACCAGAAGATTGTAGAACTTTGCTTTTTAAGTCATAAGTCTGAATAAGCATAAAACTTCTAGAACATTGTTTTCTGGACGAAGCGGGTGCAGAAACGTGGACCATAGTGGGTCGTAGTGCAGAAAACAGTATCAGTCCATCGCATCCATTAACATAATGACGAACCTTAATCTGATGGATTCCAGATTAGGATGAGGCCGTCGCTCTTCTAGCTAAAGTTTGGTCCAAACAGGGTCAGATGGTGGCAAAAGCTATTCAAACAGCGTCGCCCTGGTTACTACAGTCATCCACTCAGATTGCTTTTAGCTTCAACTCACATTGATTAATGCTGTTTCAGCACTTTGGACAGAGGCATCTGGATGACTGAACCTGTACCAACCTACTTTTTCCAAGCACTGCAGAAATGAGTTCACTAAGTTACTGTTTTCCAACCTTCTCTGACTTGTGTATCCCTTGGGGCATTTCTTCTTACCATAAGTATTCCCTTATTAGTCAAAAGTACTGATGATTGTCCAAAGGTGGAACGTACAGCAGCTAATTATAAAATAAATACTATTTTACTTAATCTTTTAAAGCTACAGTGTGTAATTTTCAGCGACATCTAGCGGTCAGACTGCAGACCGCAGCAACATGAACATCTCCCCCCCACCGCTTCTCCCCCCCAACAGTACGGCGAGCGTTACGGGACAAAATTTCTTCCACGACGTCCACATCACCTACCTTCTCAAGTGATGAGGTTTGTTTACATAGATAATTTTACAGATAGTATTTCATTAGTCTGAGTAGGGTATAGATTTCATGTAGACTTAAGATAATAAATATACCCGTTATTTTTTCTACATCGTTGTGACGTTTTGGTGAGCTGCTTTGCATGGTGATATAAACAGACGAAGTAATTGTAGTCATTAGTTTAACAGCGAGATTGTGTTCGCTGGAAGAATATATATTCCCCGTTTACAGAGTCCAAGTCATTTTGGTGGCACGGGGGTTACAACGCGAGGAAGAGGGAGAGGACGAGGGCGAGGGCAGGGAGGCCGTGCAGCTAGGGCCAGGCGAGAGAGGGGTGCCAGCGGGGTGAGAGCAGAGGAGGAAAGGCTTGAAGATCTCCAAAGGAGCCGGAGAGAAGTAACCGAGGTATATATCCAGAAAATTATTTTACAGAAAATTACTGAATCATTACCTGTGAAACGTCAGGGACATTGCTGAATAAGTATACTGGAGAGTAACAGCATCATCACGCAGCATGTTATTGTTTTAGACAGGTCTGAGCATCCTGTACTCCAAAAACTGCAGTGATATTAGACAATTGTGTGTATAGGATTAATTACCTGTCCAAGAGAAAACTGGCAACTTGAGCGTCACTTTGAAAACCTTTTTCCTCCATCAGTGACTTCCATCGTGTAAATGCCGTGCCAATGTTGATCCGTGTTTTTTGCCGTTTCTTGTCACGCTTGCGTTTATTCTCGTCGTGTTTCCGCTTCTTAGATGACGGGGGTTCGGTGTCCGCCGCTTTTCGTTGTGATACAGAGTAGGCATGATCCTCCATTCGTCTGATGTTTGGCCACACAGTGCCAAACAGTTTGCAAAGTCACTCACGCCTGCCGCCTTGTTCACCTTTCTTGTTACTGAGGCGCAGTATACCTGCTTCTTCTTCTTCTTCTTTGGTTTCAGGCAGACTAAACGCTTCTCAGGCATAATACTGCCATCTACTGTTCAGTACCGTCTCAGTTCATCTCTCTCAACTTGCCGTAGTTATTTTTGAGCGTCATGGGAGATCTCGCAATCGCTAGTTTCTTGCCTCTGCGCTTGCCGTAGCGCAAAGATGTCAGCCTCCATGGCTGCGAGACCCTTTTTTTTTTTTTTTTTTTTTTTTATTGAACAAAATGTATACAAATTCTCGATGAGGTGCAAGAACAATACAACATAGGTAGAAAAAGTAAAACAAAAAAACAAGGGGCTAAGACTAAAAACAAGCACATAAAACAGTAAGGCAATTGAATAATAATAGAGCAGGGATTTAAAACAAAAGAAAACTTGAGATACTGGCAGTTACTTTTCTTGCAGAAACAGATTTCAAAAGTTTCAGTGAGGTGAAATAAAGTTTAAATTGGTTAAGAAAAAAATCAAAACAAGGAGTAGAACCTCTCCATTTACAGCAGTGTATGTGATATTTCACAAGTAAAAAGATAATATTAACCATGTCAGATATTTTACTATCAAGGCCATCAATATAATATAAAATGTGGGTGATGGTTATCTCAGGAATGTCATCAATTTTAAGGGATAACCAATTTTTTACGTCGCTCCATAGTTTAAAAGAAAAGGGACAGGAAAAAAAAAGATGATTAAGGGATTCTTCTGGACCATCACAAAAAACACAACATGCTGAATCAAATTTAAATCTTTTGTGCAAAAATTCAGCCACTGGGTAAAAATTGTGAGAAATTTTGAAATGAGTTTCTTTAACTTTTGGTGAAATTGGCCATTTTACGTACTTGGAGAACGCATTCTCAATTATAGACAAATTGGTTGTTTTTATTAAGATATTATTATTGTAATCATTAAATAATTTAGATTTGAAGGCAGTCACAAGCAGAACATTGTTGCACTTTGAATCGGTCACACTATATTCTCCAATTTTTAATTTGGGTAAAGATGAAGTGACATTTGAGTATCGTAGAGTGTTTTGGATGAGATGGATCAGAGCTACAGGGATAGCTCTACATACTTTTAAATATTCATTACAAGAACAGTTCAGTTCAAATTTGTTAGTGAAATCACTATGATTTAACAACATACCATTACTATCCATTAAGTCAGTTACAAATAAAATACCTTTTTCATACCAGTCAGTTTTAAAAATAGATTTTCTATTTATCAATATTGACCTGTTATTCCACACTACAGATCCATGTGGGGTAAAGTTGTGGGTAAATATCATTTTCCAAAAGTGTAAAACTTGCCTGTGAAAATTAGACAGTGTAATATTAATCTTGGTTAATTCAAAATCACATTTAAGCAGAAAATCCAAGCCACCAAGCTTATTAAATATAGATTTAGGAATATGAAACCACATTGAATTGGAATGAGACAAATAGGTCTTCAGCCAGTTTATTCTAAATGAGCCAATCAAAGCCTCAAAATCTAATGCTCTAATTCCTCCTTTATCATAATCTTTAATAAGATCAGATCGTCTTAAATAGTGAGTTTTGTTTCTCCAGATAAATTGAAAGATTATTGAATTGGCTTTCTTAATATTCTTGCCAGAGATAAAAGCAGAATGGCACGGGTAAATTAATTTGGACACTCCTTCAGCTTTGGACAAAAGTACTCGTCCAAAAATAGTCAGATCTCTAGTTAACCAATGACTCAAGGATCTCTTCATACCATCCAAGCAACTACAAATGTTTTCCTCCTCTCTTCTAATAATGTCCTTTGAAATCAGCATTCCCAGATATTTAACCTCAGACTTAACTGTAATGGAGGCAACAGACGTCTCAGAGCTAGAATGGATCGGCAAAAGTTCACATTTATCAATATTGAGAGACAAACCAGATGCGCTAGAAAACATTGAAATAGATTTTAGTGCAACATCTACCATAGTTTTATCTCTTAGGAAAATTGTTGTATCGTCAGCAAATTGACTAATCTTGAATTCCTTATCAAAAATTTTGATCCCATGTAAATTAGAATTTTTCATAATTAGTAAGGTTAGCATTTGAGTTGTTAATATAAATAATTTAGGTGAAATTGGGCAGCCCTGCCTGATTCCCCTTGACATAGAGAAACTAGGGGTCAAACTCGTTCCCAGGGAAACAGAGCTACTTATATCAGTATAAAATAATCTAATTATACTACAAAATTTTTCCCCAAAGCCAAAATATTTTAAGGTTTTTATTATAAAGCAGTGTTCCAGTGAGTCAAAAGCCTTGAAGAAATCCAGGAATAAAATAAAACTCTCATCATCAATAAAGCTACGATAATCAATCATATCAAAGATCAGTCTAGTGTGATGATGGATATTTCTTCCTTTTAAAAAAGCTGATTGGCATTCATTAATAATTGTTCCTAATCCACTGTTCATGCGATTGGCATAAACAAGAGCTAAAAGTTTATAATCTGTACATAAAAGAGTGATGGGTCTCCAATTGTTTAAAGATAAAGGGTCTTTTTTAGTTTTGGGGATCAGAGTAATCAGACCTCGTTTCATGGTGGGAGAGAGATTATTGTTTGAAATACATTCCAGCAGGGCCTCAAATAAAAGTTTTCGTAAATCTTTCCAAAAGAAAGTATAAAATTCAGTGGTTAACCCATCAAGGCCTGGAGATTTCCCTTTTGCCATTTGTTGTATTGCTACGTCAAGCTCTTCGATTCCTAAGTCATCTTCCATAAGGTTTTTAAAATCAAGGTTAATTTCTTCATCAGATTCCTGGATTTCATCAAAAAAAGATTGGCAATTGGATTCTGAATACTTAGAGCAATAAAGATTACTATAAAAATTTCTAATTGCTACATTTATTAAATCCAGGTCTTCAGTGATACTACCATTAATAATTAGTTTCTGAATCTTCTTTTTGGACTGTCTCTGCTTCTCAAGATTAAAAAAATATGATGAGTTCTTTTCACCGTCTTCAATCCATCGAGCCCTAGAGCGAATGAATGCCCCCTTTGCTTTATCTAAAAAAACATCATCAAGTTGAGATTTGAAACTATCAAGCTGACTCAGCTCTTCGGATGATAAAACTGATTTTGAACATAGAGAATTTATATTGCTTATAAGTTGGGAATGTTTCTGTCTCCTCAGCTTAGAAGCAATTTTGCCTGTCTTTATTGCTGCTGTCCTAACACTAAATTTAAACCATTCCCACTTATTTAAGGGC